AAATGAGAAAATATTGTGAAATGCGAAAAACCATGGTAGATTTTAAGCAGTGCCGTAAGAATTTAAAGCAACCAGTCCAACTAGTTAGACTCTCAAACTCAAACCTGTTTGGTTTAATTGAGAAAAGTTGTTCACACAAACTAGATTTCTATTTGGTTTAATTGAGAAAAAGTTGTTCATAAAAACTGGATTTTAAAAGGTAATTTAGGAGAACTATTTTATGTGTTTCATAATTTTGATCATTTCCATGCTCGACTGTGGTCAAAATGCTAATTGAACCCGACTTGATACCTTTTTGGTTTGATGACCGGTCCGATTTTGGCAAAGAGGAACTTTTGGTTGCATGAGAGGTAGGAAACCTAAGTTTAATGACAATAACTATTAACATGGTAGCAAACCTTAACATAACCGAAAATACAAAGGATATTTTCTAATGAGGTCATGCCTTCCAGGAGCCAACTTCAATTGAGTTAAGAAAAGAGCCCGGGCTTAATTGGTTAGTGCTTGACGATTTGCAACACTGCGTCTTAGGCTCAATTCCTATTGAGGGTAGGGGCCCTCTCCCCACTTACTTTGCCAAAAACAAAACAAAAAAATGCTTCAATTTGCGTTACCAAGTGGCACGTGATAATTTTGAAGGGTAACTCTCTCTTCCTCAACATACATTCCACACGTGTGAGTTGCTCATAAACGGCAGGGGAGTAAGCGGGCCGGTGCTCAGTCCAACGTGCCCAATAAGGAGGTTTGAACTTGGCCCATGCTAGAGCAAGTTTCCAAAGTTAGTTGGGCCCATGCTAGAGCAAGTTTCCAAAGTTAGTTGGGCCGGTTTGGTCCGTTGCACCCTAGTAATAAAGAAATTGTGATAATAAGGCCTATTTGGTGTTAATACTAAGGTTTGAGCCATGCCGGTTAAGCTAACATAACCTAAATGGAAAGTTCGGGCCTTATCCCAATGGGCCACAACTAGGTCCAAACAAGGCAATGTAGGGCTAGGCCTTTGCGGCCCGCCTACTGGCCTCGCCCATTAACAACTCATCCAGGTGTATTGAAACATGCTAACAAGTCATGCATCCAAACATTACTCATATGTATTCACACGTGTCAAATCGGATCCGGATCCGGATCCAAAAGTATATATGAGATCTAGATCCGATTAGATCCAAAAAAATTATGCTATTAAATAATATATAACAAAAAACTATATCATATGTAATATTTGAAAAATTGGATCGGATCGAATCCATTGTACCTAGATCCGATCCGAATTACTCTTTTGAATCCAAATTTAGGATTTCGGATCCAAATATTGAATCCATACTTGGATCCGAATAGAATATGAACATTTGGATTTCAGATACAAACCGGGAAAATTCTCAGTCCTATTGAAAATTATATGTTGACCCTTGTTACGCATTTTGGCCTTTTGGATGGAATAAATCTTAGGAACATCGCTATTTTCTACTTTTTTGCCACATCTCTATCGTGAATCTTGCTATATTTTTTTTTTGCCAATTTAAGAGTAAAACACAACCCCATTTGGTATGCTCCACTGCTCACGAGGGCCTGCACTCGAGATTGCACAATTTCTTTTTCCTGGTAGTTTAGTGGTAGGAAGAGAAGTTGAGAGAGTGCGCAAATTAATAAAACACTATATTAATGTCCTTGACCTTGCAAGCAAACATTGCTTTTTCCTATCTATGAATAATTGCATTATTTATTGGAGTTGGTTAGTTGTCTGAACATGGACTTGTTATTATCATCATTATCCGATCTTTATCCCAGTTACATTGTATCGGAGTTCATAAAATATATGTGGCAAAAATTATACATTAGCTGAAAATTTAATACAATCTTCCTCCTTTCTCCGAGCTTGGGACTGGATGATTGGCTCAAGATAGTTGGTAGAGTTTGAGACATGGACTTGATGTACACATAATATTTAAATAAACGTTTTAAAAGGCTCAACTTTCAAAATCATTTATTTTATCGTTTGAATAAAATGAAATATTTCCATAATTCATTTTTTTTAAAAAAAATACTAAAAAAAATGCCTTAAATTGTTAACTCATTTTTTTGTAGTCATATCTAAACTAATCACATTCTTTACGCTTTGCCGATTTTAATTTTTGATTAATTGTTTATCTTGACCAGTACTTTTTACTCAATTTTTAAATAAAATTGATTACGTGTTTATTTTTAAATACCTACTTGTTTATTTACTAGTATATTTTCATTACGTGCATATTGCTATCTATCGAAGAACTAATATGGAATTAGCAGTGTTAATCCATACTCTAGAGAGAGAGATCTGTTGATCTAGGGTTGGCAATGGGCCGGGTGGGTCACATGGGTAAACTTAGGGTTTGGGTCACATGGCACGGGCTTGGGCCGGGCCAATACTGTTCACTTTTAACTCTTAAATTTTACCTGGCTCAGCCCAGCTTTGATAGGGCCAAGCCCTCAAGGGAACAAGGCCAAGGCCGTTATATTTTATTTCTCTTTCTTTACTTCATGATGTTGTGTAATTACCGTATCGTAAAGTTAATGAAAAATGGGTTGGAAACTATCTCCCCCACTTATTTACTCAAAAGATATACGCATAATCTTAGAGAGAGAAAGGACACGTTGGCTGCCATTGGACATCCATAGATTTGGAGAAAGATGTGTTGGTTATTATTATTATTAATTGTTAACCATTGGATTCATTAACTCCAAAATAAAAAAATACAGGAGAGGTACAATTAGATGAAGGAGGTAAAATAGTACTGGAGAGGCATAATTAGGTGAAGGATGTAACGACCACCAACTATTGTTGACTTAGAATTAGATGCGTTGTTATAAAGAAAAAGTTTATATAAGGTGTCGACCTTATACTGTACAGGTAAGGCACACCAAAACAACCCAATAGTGAAGGTTGTTCTATCCTCGAAAACCCATCTCAACTTCTAGATTCATAGACATAAAAAAATAGTGGATTTTTAGTCCTACAAATATTTGATCTTTTAACACATTATCTGGACGGTCAATTTTCAATATTTTAAAGTGTTTATAGATACGTTTGATCATCACCCTTTCTGGAACTTTAAATTTCATAATTGGCGGCAACAATAGATTTTTATATCATTGCAAAGTTTTGTGGCATCTAAACTGTATTTTCAGCATAGTTTTGAGGCGTACCTTACGACAATAGTATAAAGTAGACGCCTTATATAAACCTGACCCTTGTTATAAACGGCTGCATTCATGAGAGAGAGATGCATATCTTAGTTGTCATATAGAGGGGGGTGTTCGTTATCATGAAGAGAGAGATAATGTATGTTGTAGTATCATAGAGAAAAGACATGCGAGAGAGATTGGTCTAGCGGAAGAGAGAGAAAGCGTGAGCAGTTTTGCCAAGATAAAGATAAAAAAAGGGTGTGGTTTGTATAGAGCCGAGGCTCTAAACAATCAAATTGGAGCCTATCTTCAAATGGTGTCGAAAAATTTTGTTTTAATCTTAGAAATCTTTGTGTTAGCTTTAAAATATATATTTATATTTAATTATAAATTTTAAAGTTTAAAAAATAGTGTAGATCAAACAGATCTATGACAACTTGAAAATCCTGAAAATTGACAGTCCAAAACCGCGCTACAAGATGCACTATTTTCAAAACTTAAAATCTATTTTGTTCTCATGTATATGCATCTTGATGTCGAGATGATCAATTTAAGGATATTTGAGCATCAAAACAACCTCTTCTAGTGAAATTTTTGAGATGGGCTTTAATTTTATGGTTTAGAGCCTTGGCTCTACATAAACTTTTTCCATATAAAAAAAAGTATGAGTTTGAGAGAGAGAGATCGAGAGAGGGTGACCAAATGGAAGAGAGAGAGAGCAATATCTTTTTTGCTTAGAGAGAGATTTGAAAAAAAAGAGAGTTCATGTTTGGTCAAGAGGAGAGGGAGCATTTTTGCTTAAGTGAGAGTGCTAGGCTTAATTGGTTAGCATTTTACTATTTGCAATGCTATGTCCTAGGTTCAATTTCTACGTAAAATAGGGGCCTCTAGGTTCAATTTCTACGAAAAATAGGGGCCTCTCATCACTTACTCATAAATTTAAAAAAAGAAAAAAAAAGAAAGAGAAAAAGAGTGAAGGGTCAAGCGAGGTGTCGGAAAGAGCAAACGGGTGCATTAAGAGAGAGATAGAGGGAGGGAGAGGGCATGTTTGGCCAAATAAATTGGAGTTCGGATATTAAAAAATGGGTGTGGTTTGTATAAGGTCGAGGCTCTAAACAATCAAAATAGGGTGCATTTTCAAATAGTATCGAAAGATGTTCAATACTAAAAATCTTAATGATGTTTTTAAAATACATTTTTATGTTTAATCATAAAATTTAAACTTTTAAAATAAGTGAAGAACGAGTAGATGTGACTTATTTTAAAATATTTGAAATTCTTGAAATTGACGATCCAAAAAATGCATTAGAAGATGCATTATTTCCATGACTTGAAATCCATTTTTTCTCATATTCATATATCTTGAAGTCGAGTTCATTGATTTGAGGATTTTTACAATCAAAACCACCTCTTCTACTGAATTTTTTAGATGTAACTTATTCTGATTGTTTGAGGCCTCACCCTCATATAATTTTTTTTCTTCAAAAAAACACTTCATGCACGATGGACGGCATTTGTACAATATGCAATCTAGAGGTACAAATGGTCCAAATGTTTTTTTAACATAATTATTATTTTTAATTTTTAAAATTTATTTATTTATACATGTTCTCCATGTTAAAGATTATATATTTTCTAAAAATAGGATCGAATTCTATTTGAAAAATAAATTTATTAATGAGCTCGCATTTCAGGGCTTGGCCGCATCGTAACCGCGTCCAAAAGAAAAAGGCCGAATCAGGGGCCTCTTTTCTCAATACTCGAATTTCTACACGCAAAAAAGAGGTTAAAAAAAAAAAAAAATCTATAGAGAGGGAGCCATTTCTAGAGAGAGATACGTTTCTAGAGAGAGAGAGAGAGACGATAAATACTGAAACAACAACCAGAGTTCAGTTTCCATATCCTCATCAATGTGTTTTGACCATCACTAAACATTATTTATATTATTATTCCTAACAACGACTACTACAAATTCAGGAGCAAGCCTCTCTCTCTCTCTCTTCCCACAAATGTCTGGTAAGCCCCTCTTCATTCCTCTGCTAACCCTAAACATCACTTATTCGAACTTCTCTCTCTAAAACCCCTCTCCCTCTCTCTCTAAAAAACCTCAAATTCTCTCTGTCTCTCACACCTTCATTCTGATGATATCGATTTTCCTCTTCGATCTTGTACAGGGACTTTCCGGATATTTGAAGCACAATTTACCAAGTTTTTAATCATCAAACCTTGCTCTTTTTTCTTTTTCTTTTCCCTTTTGATGTTCGCCGATTAAGGGATGATTTACTATTTAGATTTCGTTTGTCTCAAATAGTTTCTCTTAAGGAGATTATGCTGAAATATTTGAATATTTTTTTATTTTCTCAAAAGGAAATCTGTACATTTTATACGTGCAATTTCAGTATGGTTTCCGCAGTTTTTATGAGAGTTTTTTGTTTAGTTTTTCAGGTTTCTACTAATTTCCGTTCAGGATTTTCTTAGATGAAATTGTTGTTTTGTTTTTCTTTTTTTGAGGAAAAAAAAAGAAAAACACTTTTATTGAGTTGATTTGAATTGATGTAAAGCTTGACTCTTTATGCTTCAGAAAGAGGTTTTGGTGATGTCTTTTGATGGTGAAGAAAGTCCATGGATCTGCCTTCAACATTCACCTGCAAAGGTCAGTTTCCTCTAAACACTTACTCTTTTTTTTTTTAAGAATATATAAAAACACTGTTTTCTTTTGCACAATATAAGTGGGAAAAATCCATATATTATATGTTCATATCTTCGTTTTTGAAAATTACAGACTCTATTTATTTTGAAAACTTTCTATTTTTATTGTATGCTTCAATTTTTGTATATGTTCTGAAAAAAACGTATATAGTTCATTGGTTTGCACATAATTGTAGTGAAACTTTGAGGAGACAATTTCTTGTAGAATTTGAGAGAAGAGCAATGGAATATATTTTTGTTATTCGTGTTTTAATTTTCACATAAAAATATATAATCTCGTGTCACTTCACAGTGAAATTCATAAGGATTACTTCTGAAAAGAATTCACTAACCAGGCAGGTACTTTGTTGATGGTTCAAAGTAGTCTATAAGTAGAGTTGAGCCTGTATTCTGCTTAGTTTTTGTGAGCAAATTAACAATTTATTTGATTTTACTTTTATTGGTAGGATAGTGATTATCAATTCCACAGCTACTATATATTCTGCTTAGTTTTTGTGAGCAAATTAACACTTTATTTGATTTTACTTTTATTGGTATGAAGGCGATTATCAATTCCACAGCTACTATTAGGATCAATTCTGCATTTTGGCTATTCTTATAATTGAGCTTGTTTATCACCTTCATGTTAATAGATCTTAAGTTTTGTTGTCGCCCCATTTCTTTATTGTCTATACCTTCTTGTTGTCTGCATTCTATCCTGTGGCCTTCAGTCTGGTGGTGTGGCACCCAGTTTACATGAGGTTTGTGGGTTCAAAATTTTCACTCATTAAGGAAAAAACCTAGATATATACATATAGTGCTTGTGATTAAAAACCTAGATTTATACATGGAAAAAGTTTATATAAGGTTGCAACCTTATAATGTAGAGCTACAGATGCACCTCAAAAATCCATCGGAAAAGGTCGTTTTAATGTTGAAAAACCCTTTGATTGATCATCTCGACATCGAGATGTATGACCATGAAAAATAAAAAGATTTTAAGTCTCAGAAATAGTGCATTTTACAACATATGATCTACACCGTCCATTTTCAAGATTTTCATATGTTTATAGATCTACTTGTTTTTAACCATTTTTGAAATTTAAAATTTTATAATTAAATATAAAAATAGATTTTGAGATAATCCTAAGAACATTTTACATCAAAATTATATACCATGATAAAATTTGAAGGCGCACCTTACCAGTACAGCTTCGGATGCATCCGTATGCCAACTGCACCCTTTATACATATAGTGCTTGTGATTATTGTGGATAATTTCCATTGTTGTAAATCGATTAGTCGTTATGGGGCTATAGTGGCTTGACCTAGGCTATATTTGCTTGATTTGTCTCACTGATATCTTTTTGTAGGTGCAGGTTTTAACTGGTAATTGCAGTAGGATGCCACATGGCGACATCTATTATGTTCATATGCTTTCCATATGTGGATTTTGTCACTATGGGATTTATTTGTTCACTTATGCCTTTGTTCTCAATGGTGCAGGGCGGCAAAATGCTCAAGCCAGAGAAGTGGCAAGCAGCATTTGATAATGATGGAAAGCTTCTTGGTTTTCAAAAAGCTCTAAAGTTAATTGTTTTGGGGGTAAGTATATCCTTAGTGAGTTTATTTGTTTAAAAATTTGTTTTTCCTTTCTTGATGTGTTTTTTTACGATGAAGGTTGTCTTGGTTTCTTTCTTTTGAATGTTTTACATAATCGCCTAGTTTACCTTAGAATGCAATAATATTGCAACTTCTACTACTTGTATTAGAGGTATGTTCCATAGTTCAATAACAACTTGAAGTTTAATCATTTTATATTACAATTTAAGATAAATCAAAGTTCTCAGGTGAGTAAGCTACATTGGCTTGAACCAAATGATTTTAAAATGATCCAATGTGGATGTACTTTGTGAAATTTTGTGGTGATTGGAACATGATCCATTGCTAATTAGACACCAAGAGGGCCCCTAAGCAATACTCATTGGTTGTTGGACCTAGCGACATATGAAAGAGCGGGATAAAAAGGATGTTAGAACGTTTGTTAATTCATCATCATCATCATCATCATCATAGCATTTTCCCAATTAATTGGGGTCGGCTACACGAATCCTGGTCCACCATTTTACTCTATTAAAGGCCATACCCTCAGTGAGCCCATAAGTCCTTATATATTTTCAGACTACTTCCAACCATATATTTATTAAAATGGTCTAAGAAGGGTGATGACCTTAAACTTCCCTAAACCCATCCCATACTTGGGTAAAGGGGCTGTTGATTAGGTTTTAGAATTATTAGAAAAATAGGAGAGGTGGGATATTTAGTTATCATGTTTTCATTGCTATTGGAAATAGGTAAAATGTTTTCTATTTCCTTTTTCCTTCCTTTTTCTTTTTTCTTTTTTCTTTTCTAGGGTGGGATTTTAATTAGCAATCCCAATTATTATGGTTTATGTGAAGTCCAAGTACGGTTAGGTTTTACCCCTTTATGTTCATATATTTGCAAGTCTTTGACAATGAAATAAAAATACAGAAGAATGATTAGTTTGAAGACTCGAGTACTTTTGGGATGGGCTCTATTAGGTTTCTAGAACCATGTAGTTGTGGAAAGAATGACACCAATTATTAGGATCCCACTAGGATCATTTACTTAACCCGCTCGAAATGAAAGAAGTGAATGAATCATAATATGAGGGCGGGAAATAAAGCATAAAAGCATGCAAACCACATTAACCCACAATATATGTGTTTTTCCCCATAAGGCCTATATCCATGGGAATGCAAACTAGAATCCACTACACCGATGAGAGTTACATTAAATATTTTAGGACGTAAAATTACCTTTCTAACTCTCGACAATACCCTGTTGATCATCCCTTTAAACCATCTCTCTCGATCAGTAACAACCATCTTTCCCATTGAAACTCTTAACCTAAGAAGAGAACCTTGAGGAAAAACCAAGTCTCTCTATCACTAAAAGGGGGTACCACCCAAAATCTCTATGGTAACTTCGTATTTATAAGATACTAGCCTCGCTCATCATCGCATGGTCCTCTCTCTAGTAATCGCATTGATCCCTTTCTGGAGGCCTCACCTCTCTTTGCTGGAGGCCCTTGCATCTCTCTCAAGGAAGTCCAATTTCCCCATTTGCTGACCCAACTAGGTCACAAGAGTTATTTCTCTCTCATGCCATATATAGGAAATTTAACACCAAGAGTCCGCACCATCCTCTCTCTTTGTACCCAATTTCTATATTAGATTTCCAAGATTGATTATCTTGTTTATCTCATTTTCTTCTCTCTTCCCTTAAGGTAACACCCATGAGGAAATATGGGATTGATCCATCTTACCTCAATTGGATACAACTCACCTTGGTTGTCCAGGTCAATCCTATTCAACAAGGGACTTGTGGAGAGGTGGTTTCGGTGTCACTGACTTCCCTTTTAGGCTTTATGAGAGAGCATAATCTCTCTCTCTCTCTCTCTCTCTCTCTCTCTCTCTCTTTTCTATCGTCTTTTTTTTCTCTTTCTCCATTCTCTCGTTGCATAAGGTGTCATCATTGCTTCAGAAAAATCCATCGTTCCATCACAATGTCACGATAGCCCTCCCCTGTGATCGAAGATATGTCGTAACAAATCATGGAGATTGTAAACCAGCAAAACAAGGAGAACATTTAATTAAGTAGTGGGGAAATGTGTGGACATGAATCCTGGCATGGAGAGTCTGAGAGGGGGCTTTTGAATCCAAATCGATGAAATAAATCAGAAGCTGTGATGATCGGAAAATATTGGTCACGATAAGTGGGTCCTCATAATCCAATTGATTGGGCACCAACTCTCACCTAGAGATCAATCGATCTACACAACCGAATCTGGTGGCTGATCTAGTGCGTAATGGGCAGATTTTGAGGCAATCATCACAATATATGAAGCGTCATGATGACTAGGCATCAAAGTTGATTTCCTTGAGTTTCACGGTGAGTTCACATCCAATGTTTTATTGATTTGTTGAGTTTCATATAGAATGTTTTTGAATGGAGTGAATTCCTAGAGAAGCATAAAGTTGAACTTGTTGCAATCAAGCTTTGAGGGGATGTGGTTGCTTGGTGGAAAATGGGTAAGTGAAATTTTATATTTGGCGTAAGATGAAAAAAAAGAAGATAGAAACGTTCTTTCTTTGGATCATAAGCACATTTTCTCTAAAGACCTAAAAAATCTACAACAAAACGAAAAGAGTAGGACTGTACAAGGGAATTTTATAAGCTTGTGGCTTGGAACAATCTCCAAGAGACCGAAGGTCAAAAGGTTGCTTGTCTTGTTAATTGGCTCCAAATAGTCATTAAGGACCCGACATGGACCTTAAGACCTGCTTTTCAAATTGATCAAAGAATAAAGGCTAAACTACGATGGAGCACAAATATATCATTTCTTACATATTGAGAGTACCCAAATTTAATGAAGAAAAGAAAGAATAGGACCAAGTGGGTTCCTCCTAGGTTACTTGTTATGATGTAGCGAAACGGGCCACCGTACCTATGCTCGAAGATTAGGATGGAAGTTTGTCTGACTAAGAAAGTGATGGAGCTGCTTAAGAAGATGAATGCCCAGAAGTATATTTGCATTGACGATGAAGGGGACAATCTTCGATTCAAGTTTTCAAAGCTATATACTCGAGTTTGTGTTTCTTCCAACCCAGGGAATGACACAAGAAAATGGGGGATAAAAATAATAAGTCGGGATATTTTTCAATTAGGTTTTAGAATTGTTAGAAAATTTGTTACATGGAATACTTAATTAGGTTTTTCTTAGTTTCATTACTTTTTGCCCTTTGTAAAATGTTATCTGTTTGCTTTTCTTTTATTTTAAGGGAGGATTTTAATTAGAAACTCCAACTATTATGGGTCTACATGAGGTCCAAGTAGGTGTAGGGTTTGCCCCTTTTGTTTCATATATATGTAAGTTTTGACCATGAAATAAAGAAGAGTTTTTCATTTTGAGAGTTGTAGAGAGTGTTTTGGGATGAATTCCTTTGCAGGTACTAGTTTCTGCTTACTCATAAAAATAGAGAAGGGGTCTTTTCTAATGGAGAATTGCACGCATAGGTTGTTAATGTTGAAAAATTGACGTAAAGTGCAGATTTTAATTTTGATTTGTCACTTTTGACTTAATTTATGGGTTAAGCTCTTCATAGATGACATGACATGCTCTTGAGATTCTTGCCACAAACACTCATCCGTTAAAATAATAGCAAGCACGAACAGATGCGATAGGGAACATGATGCGTGCACACTGTATTTGGATGGAGCTCTTCTCCATATCTCTGTCTTCAACATATTGGTATTGTGCTCCTCAACATAAAAAACATGGATTTTCTTTCAGTAAAGAGAGGCAATTACTTGCTTAACTTCTGTCCATTTGTGCAGCAATTTTAGATTGTCTTAAGTGTCTAGTCATCCTGTAATGCAAAGTGTGCACTCTTTATACATGTTCTGATTCTTTTCGAGTCCATTAACTGAGTTTATCTTTTCCTTTTCCTTTGTACATATAGTACTCTTCTTTGTTTTCTAATCTTATTTTCATCTTGAGTATGAAAGATCCCAGTTTTATCTGTGTTCCTATACAGTACTGTTTATGTTTATTTGGATTCTAGATAGTACAAAAATGCATTTGTGGTATACAGGAAAGAAAAGAAAATATGCCAATTGTTTATGTTAAATTTATAAAAATAGCCATAAGAGATGAGCCATTTAACATTCTACCTATTTGCAACTATACCGACTCAAGATCATGTGTTTTTTTGTGGCTATTTTGAATTTAAATCAAAAGATATGGGTAAGGTTTAAATTATTCATCTCTCTGGGTAGCCTGATAATTTTCCCTTGATTTATTTCCTAACCTGCTGTTTATTTTGCCTTATATTTGTTATAGGGTGTTAATCCATCCATAAGAGCTGAAGTCTGGGAATTTCTTCTAGGTTGCTATGCATTGGGTAGCACTGCAGAATACCGCCAACATCTTAGAACGGTCCGAAGGTCAGCGCTTTCTTGGATATTCCTCTTAATCAGGTTACAACTTAAGTGATGCTATATGGGATCCTATTGTGTTTTCTTTTTGTGTGTGTGTGCATACGCGTGCGCGTTTGTGTTTGTTCAGCGACTGACTGAATTGGGAGGAGGGGGGGGGGTGGTGTGTGTGTGTGGTGTTTACGTGTTTGTGCGCGCAATGCATGTTTGTTCAGTGACTGACTGAAATGACTTGGCTAGTTTCTCCAAGTTGGAAAAGTTTTTTTTTAGTGGCTATATTGCATGTTATGGATCCCAGATACTTTGAAGAAACAACCTGAATAATTTCAATTTTTTAATTCTTGATTAATACATAAAATAAAAGAAACTCTGTAGATTCTGGAACAAATTTTTTTTTTTGAATATGATTCTGGAACAATTATTAATGATGTACCTTTGTATCTCAGTGTTGTAGTCCCTAAAATTCGTAACTCAGTCAAATCCCATTGGAGTTTGAATAACCAAGTTAATTGATGACCATAGATATAAGAAAGAAGCCAAGCCTGGTGTGAAAAATCAGTATCATGAGAATTCAAAATCTTTTTGTCTTTTTGGTGATTGATAGCTTGATGACCATAGATCTAAGAAAGAAGCCAAGCCTGGTGTGAAAAATCAGTATCATGAGAATTCAAAATCTTTCCGTATTTTTGGTGATTGATAGCTTGAAAGTTTGTTTCTATGGATGTCATTGGAGTGGTTCAAGTGTTGTTGTCCTTCTTAGGGGTCACCATATGATTGAGATTTACCCGTAGCAAACTTTTTGCTACCTACTTATTCTTAATAGTTGCTGAGTGGCTGCCATCACATTTTTTTTAATTGAATTGGATGGATTGATTTTTTGTGGATTAGACTTTTGTGTTGTTGTGGATGACAGAAACACTCTTTGCACTTAACATTCTTGAGAAACAGTAATATGATTCCTGTGGTAGATGCTGCAAATTTATCTGAAGAAAACTTTTGCTCTTCATACTGGACCAAGTTCCTTGTTGGCTGTTGCTCCCATGTTTTTGGTTCATTTGGAAATATTTGTGTGCCATGTTGTTTAAGAGCTTGCTTTAAGTTTTGGTGACTTGTTCAAGTCAACTTGAGTTGCAGGGTCACTGAGTTTTATTATGAGAAACTCGGTCTGGTAAGTTTTTCAGTATTGAAATTTAACACTAATATTAGAACATATAAGGGGACTTCGTTGCACTTATGCTTGACCCTAGTTGGACTTGGTCTCAAGTTCAAATCCTGTTACTGGCGTAAAGATGCCTTGAAAAAACTTGCCGAGCTTTTGGATTTTCATTATTGAAAAACTTAGGTGAGTTGACTTGGTTTTTCTGTAAATGAGTCAGAGACCAAGTGCAAGTTTTCAAACACTGGCGTAACCCATGCGATTATAGTTAAGATGATAAATGTAGATGTTTAGACAGATTGATTCACCGTTTATTTTTCAGTTGCTTCTACGCTACTTGAAAAAGAAGATGGTGATGGCTTTCGATGTTTGATGCATGTCATTTTCCTGGCCCCTGAAGAAGATACTATTGCAGGAAAAGGTACGAGGACTTAATAAAGCAGTGCCAAATGATGCATTCTAGTATTGGTACTGGTTCCCTTGCATTTGTTGTTGGTTCCAAAGTGATGGATGTAAGGACTCTCTCAAAGGATAATTCCAATGGAGAAGTGAATGTGGGCATCGAGGAAGTTTCTGAAGGCGCTCTGGGAACTGAGCGATTTTGTGAAATGAGCAGTGACCTTATTGGTGTATCATCTAATTGTGAAAGAAAAAGCTCGAGCAACACATCTGACCTGCTAAGTGTTAGACAAAGCATGGATATTGCAGAATGCAATTCTTCATTATTTGTATCATCTTCTAGCCCATGCCAGTGCTTCTCCTCAGAATTGGGAAGAGAAGCTTGTGGGTCACAATATTTAACAGAGAACTACTGTGATTTTCCTCCACTTCCTGTCACAAATTTGTTTGAAAAGAGTGACGATGCAGTTGTGGTGGACAAAGAAACAATACCCTCCCAAAGAATATCTGGTGTTGAGGATGAAGCTATGCGATGCTTTCAGATCAATAATAATGTTGAGTTAATATTGGAAACAAAGACCCTTCCCCATATTGATACTTCACATGCAAGTGCACATGAAATTGAAGACTCTAATACATCTTTTCAAGGGCGTGTATCAGGGTCAAATGAGTTGGAATCTCGAACAGGAAAGGTTGGCAGGTTGAGAATATCAGATCCATCACAAGCAATGATGGTGGATACCAGTGCTTCTTATGCAGTCCCTTCCAATGAAGACAGATCTGACAGAACTGCTGACTGGCTTTGGACACTCCACAAAATTGGTAGGACAGGTTTTTGATATCCACTTTTGTAAGTATTAAACTAAGAAACTAAGTATTAAACTAAGAAACTATCACTATAAACAGAAATAAACCACAACTATGCATGAATAATAACTAAGAAACCACGTCTATACATCTCTGTGTGCATAGATGCATAGTCCCACTTACACCACTCTAGTAATTTGTAAATTATAGTGAGGAGAGTGTAGATGCACGCACAGATACCTGTTCTGATGTACCTTTTCACTCAGCAATATGTTGATGAGGATGGTACTGTGATCCAATGGACCATGGAAACCATCACTCTATTGGGTCTTTACCATCCAATGGACACTGTTGGAGGGGGATTGTGCCTGGCATTGGTCATATCTCTTGTTCTGGCACGTCCCTTGCGTTCAGTGTTAGCACCCATTTCATTGGAGATGATGATCTCAATGGACAAAGATTAGCACAGGCCATTGAACTAAAGTGTGCTTTTGAAATGTGTATATTTCTTCTGTTGAGAATCTTGTAGTGTTGTACTGTGGTATCGAAAATGTGATTAATTTGGAGTTATGCTGCACTTTTTTGATCCATCATTTCAGTGGTCGATGTCGTGAGGACAGACAGTCATCTTGACTTTTATGAGGATTCAAGAAACGTTGCTCGTATGTCAGACATTCTTGCTGTATATGCATGGGTTGATCCAGCTACTGGCTACTGCCAAGGTCACTCAAGATCTTTTAGTTCTCATATATTATGTTTTATTGGAAGAAGTCATTTCTGGATTCTATTTTTTCATGGCAAGATGTTGCACCTTTTTTAAATTTGGCTTTATATAATCATCTTGCACATGAGGGTCACAATTTGTTGATTGAAATGCATTATCAGGTATGAGTGATTTGCTGTCTCCCTTTGTTGTTCTCTATGAGGATAATGCAGATGCATTTTGGTGCTTTGAGATGCTTCTTCGCAGAATGGTACACGTCGCCACTTACATTGCAAACATGGCCTGTTAAGTCTTTATATTTTTTCTCATGGGAAATTATAGCATAATTCAATGATGTATCATAGACAATACTCCAAACTGGTGTGTACCATAGTTACCAAATTGCCGATAAATCTGCAATTTTTTTAAAAAATCGGTGACTTTATTGGAACCGTTTAAAACTGCGACTTTTTGAAAGGTTGGCAAAAAATCGTGATTTTTTGATAAAAATGTTTAAAACACAAATTTTTCATAAAACCATTTAAATAAGACCAAAAAATCGTATTTTTTTTTACCTTGTAATTTTTTTTTTTTCTTGTTCGATTGCTCTTCCTCTCTCTCTCTCTAAAAATCAGCATCCCCAAGCAAAAAATCAGCATCCCAAATCTTACCCAAGCCCCAAAGATACCTTTTGCCATCTCTGCACTTGTTGCTTGCTGAAATCCCACTTAGAATTGTGTTGCCCTAGTTGCTTCGAAGTTTACACTGAGGAGGCACCATTAATTGATGGCGTTAAGTGCTCAAAGTGTCTCAGTTTCACATTCGACTTGTGTTTTTCCTGAATGTTTGCCTGCTTATGCCTGCGCTCACTGCACAAACCCTAACTTTCCTTTCACAAATAATGGTGATTCTAATAAGAAAGGGTGGGGAATTGATAGGAACTTGTGTTCTATAACCTCTAATTCTAGACCAGTCATGAATCTCTCAACTGCAAAGGCTATTGTGGCAGCCGCTCAAGTTTCTTCTCTCTCTATGAATAGATTTGCAATGACTGCTAGGGGTGAAGCTGATTGAAGAGCCAGGGATTCTTCGATTGCAAAAAGAAGGGAAAGAGATACTCTTGTAAAATCCCTTCAATTCAGAGCACCGAAACAGAGAACTCAAACCCCTTTTCTCTCTCTGGAAACATCCTTTTGAAACAGAGAACTCGAACCCCAATGTGTGTTTAACTAGCACTGTTTTCAATTAAAGAAGGAAAAAGTTTATATAGAGCCGAGGCTCTAAATAATCAAATTAGAGCCCACCTCAAAAATTTCACTAGAAGAGGTTGTTTTGATGCCCAGATATCCACAAATTGGTCATCTCGACATCAAGATGCATGGACATGAAAAAAAAATGGATTTCAAGTTTTGGAAATTATGCATCTTGTAATGCATTTTTTGACCGTCAATTTTCAAGATTTTCAAGTTTTCATAGATCTACTCAATCCACACTATTTTTAAAGCTTTAAAATTGATAATTAAAGATAAAAGTATATTTTAAGGCAATCACAAAGATTTTCAGTATTGCTATCATATTTCTTGACACTATTTGAAGATGTGTTGTGCTTTGATTGTTTAGAGCCTCGGCTCTATACAAACTACACCGATTAAAAAATTGCATATAAACTTTTAACCATTAGTTATGAGTGACCATAGTCACCCTACCATAGTTAAAGCATTTTAATGGGGAAAAAAATTAGTTTATTTTTTTTAGTACCTACTACGTAGGTGTGATGTTTGTTAAAGTCTTTAATGAGTAAATTTATATGGATGGATTAGTTATTGATGGCTTTGACATAATTTTTATTTTTTAGAAATTCAAAATTTCTAATATTTTAAAATTATTCGATTTTTTGATTCCGATTTTTTGAGCCTAGTCCGATATATTTGCGATATCTTTACATGAAGTATTTTTGCCGATCCATATTTTTTGCCCGATTTTTTCATCCAACTTTTTAAAATAAAAATGATTTTTTTCCGATTTTATGGTGAGCCGATTTATTGATAGTCCCCGACTTGCTAACTACGGTGTGTACTAGTCATTCGGTGGATGGTGGAGATTTTTGGGGGCAAATGGTGGGTGGGAGTCCCCATGGAGTACTCTAGTTCGTTGGGTTATGTTATACTTCACCTTTATCTTATTCTTACAATTATCTCCTATTTGATTATATGTGCGATACTTCAAGGTTATATCTTCTTTTTCCACTGAGTTTAATGTCATATCTTATGCAGCGACAAAATTTCCAGATGGAAGGACCTACACGAGTGATGAATCAATTGCAAGCATTGAAGCGAATATTGGAACTGACTGATGTTGAAATATTCACTCACTTATCTATGATAAGTGCTGATAGCCTTCTTTTTGCTTTTCGAATGCTGCTTGTACTTTTTCGTCGGGAGTTGTCCTTCGATGAAGCCCTTTGTATGTGGGAGGTCAGTCCTCTTCCCTTAAGATATGATGATATAGAAGTATATCTCTTTGTGGTAAGATGTTTGGGACTAATGGCTAAATGTATTTTTGGAGATCTTGGAAAGTTAAGGTCAAATGATAATGGGCTTTGCAGTACATCTACCATCTAGGCATTCCCATCTATTAATGGAATGTTTTGTTGGTCTTTTCTTGGTCCTGCAAACTCTAGTTCTGCTTTTGGGGAATCTGAATTGAACTATAGAATGGGGTGGGAATAATTCCTGTGGAATAATTAAAAATCAAAAGGAAAAACCAGTTCCTGTGGGACCACGGAACTCTTAAGGTATTTATGTAGATCATGCTTTTGAAAACTAGAAATGAGTTGACTTGATTTGTTTCATCATCATCATCATCATCATCATAGGCTTGTCCAAAGTATTTGGGGTCGGCTGCACGAATCTTGGTGCGCTATTCTGCATAATCCAGCGTTAAACACTCAGCGAGGCCAAGTCCTTATATCTTTTCTCACTACTTTCAACCATGTCCTTTTGGGCCTACCTCTTTCCCTTTTTGAGCTTGCCACTTGAACCAACTCGCACCTCTTAATGAGTTTATTGATTTGTCTATGAAAGATAAGAAAATGAGAACTTAACTTGATGGTCAGTGAAGCTCAAAGGCAACAAAGTGGCTATTTTTCCTTTCAATATGTAGGTGAGAATCGTGGTTATTATTATTTATTATTTACTTTTTGACTAGTTTTTAGAACTAGATTTTTTTTCACGTCTTGGCTACCAACACGTCTCTAAAGAACTTTATTAGAGACGGATCAAATATTTGGGACTCCAGAATCCTATGCTCCTGTTGTAGTTCTATTGCACCTATTGTACACACATCTCTTGTCTGATGAGGACAAAAGTTAAACATAAATGAGCCACCACAGTATGGCAGTCGATCCTCCTTTTTGAGGGTTACGGAGTCCATGTGTCCTTGGAGTATTACAGTTGGTTTAGAGGAGTTTCTCGAGGTTGCTAGCTCTATGAAGATATCCATGCACATGCCAGAAGGAGATTATGAGATCAGGCTTTGATTATGTGGAACTCTTTAACCTATGCAATTTACCACTTCTGACATTTCTAATGTTCTGTAATGTAGTTATTTTAAGAAGAAAATACAGATGCTTGAAGTAAATATGCCAAGGACTCTGCAGGAGCCTTCCCCTGTGATCATTGTGGCAATTGCTTGACTTTCAATATTTCTAAATTCCAGTTCCAGCCCTTTAGTGTGCTTAATTAATGTCTTCGGTGGTTCTTATATTTTAAAAGTTACTACATGTTTCTGTCATCATGTCCTCTCTCTCTAACAATTGCTTTCTCTGATTACTGCGTGCATTTTTCTTAAAATTCAGTGACCTTGCTTCTAAGTCATGTATTCTCTTTTAGATGATGTGGGCTGCCGACTATGATGAAGTTGTGGTTCGGGAATTGGAGAATAATTGCCTGGAACCATTATTTGTACATATTCCAGAGGTTTCTCAGCCTGAAAACAGGGGAGAAAATGATAGAGATGGTGTCCAACAATCAAATGAAGCCCATACGGAGCATCTGGATATTGTAAAACCTGAAACCCATCATAATGGACTGCGGTCACTTTCAAGAAGACCATTTTGTGGATTGACAGCCCGTAACTTATGGACAAGACATGATCATGTGCAGCGTTGTTCAATAAGCTCAGCTGCTGCAAAAAATGGGGATAATGAACTCTCTGTTTTCTGTGTAGCTGCAATTCTTATAATTAACCGCCCAAAAATCCTCAAAGGGACTCAATCAATGGATGATTTGATAAAGGTCAGTTTGTTTTCTCCGTATTATAAGTTTATTGCTCGCTGAGTCATTTATAATTATCAAAGTGCCATGGCCTTGTAGCTGAAATTTTACTTTGTAGAACTATGTTATCTAAATTATTTGGTATTAATTTGCTGATCTAGGTTAATGTTGCAATGTGTAATTTGGAATAACATTCTTATTTGAAGTTTTTGAGTGGCTCTAATTTTCGTAATTTACAATTTTGTGTTTAGTCTGGTGAATACGCTCTGTAGCCTGTCTTAGTAAGAGGTCTTCTTTATCCTGGTGAACTCTTTGTAGCCTGTCTTAGTTAAAAGGTCTTCTTTATCTTTTCTTTTCGGGATAAAGTTTTGAGCTCCTCTAGTGATTTCTTAGTAACAATTTTATGTGAACAAGCTGTATTAGTTTTTCTGCAGGTTAAAATAAATGAGAGCCTCTAATTGAAATTAAGACACAACGCTTTATCTAAAGACATTCTAACCATTCTTCCTGAACCTCTTACAGATGTTTAATGATAACAAGCTTGAAATCAGTGTAAAAAGATGCATAAAGAAGGCCATCAAAATCCGGAAGAAGTATTTCCACAAGGTCCTTTGCCTGGTGGATTTATGTTTGTAATTTTTTACTGTGAATTTACTTTTTTGTAGGGAAAGGATACTACAGTCCAATGGACTATGGAAAAAGCACAGTCCACTTGGTGGTCTTACTGTCTGTTGAAGTGTTGATGGTGATAGCGAGAGGGGGACCCACCATTCGGGTTACGTCATGTTCGGGTGGATCCCCCGCTCTCCACTACATTTAATCACTTCAATGGAGAGTGATGGCCCAATGATCTATGTCTATTCAACTCTATTTGTTCAGAGAAGACTTCTTCTTTGTATGCTTCTATTTTTGTTTCTGACCAGTGGTTTTGTATTCTGCTTGCCCCAGCTAATAAAACATGCTTCCTCAGGGAGTGTGCAGCTATAACATTCCATGCCAAAAGAGCATTCTCCATTTTCAGACCAATGTCAGGAGAGAGAAGGCACTCATTTCCATGAATATGGCACTGTTAATTGCCACCAATAACCAGAGCTTTCGGGGTTGATATGTTTAATCTCATTTCTAACTTTTACTTTGAGGGAGATGAACCGGATGCCATGCCTTAAGGAAAGGCGATTATTTATCCCATAAACTTTTCCGTGCATTCGTGCAGGTAAATTTCTTCCTATTGGAGATTTCTTTTTCCTTTTTCTGTAGTTCTTACCTAAGGCTTTGTTTTATGGGTGCGGTTTGTATAGAGCCTAGGCTCCAAACAATCAAATTAGAGCCTACCTGCAAACAGTGACAAGAAATGGGGTTTCAACACTAGAAATCTTTGTGACAGCCTTAAAATGCATTGTTATCTTTATTTATAAAGTTTAAAGCTTCAAAAATAGTGTAGATGGACAGATCTATGAAAACTTAAAATCTTGAAAATTGACGGTCCAAAAATGCATTACAAAATACACCATTTCCAAAACTTGAAATCCATTTTTTTCTCATGTCCATGCATCTTGATGTTGAGATGATCAATTTGAGGATATTTGGGCATCAAAATCTCTTCTAGTGAAATTTTGAGGTAGGCTCTAATTTGATTGTTTAGAGCCTCGGCTCTATATAAACTTTTCCCTTGTTTTATATTGTCTGTAAGCTTCGCTGAGTTGGAAGCCGTGGAAAAAACTCTTTTGCTTAAATTGGTTAAATATGTCTGAATTTGGCAATCACAATTCATGTCTGAATTTAACAATCACAATTCACAACATTAGCAATTCCACTAAATAAAGGCCTTTGCAACTTTTTGTAAGTGGTTTATGCGTCTGTAAGTTTGGCTTTGTAAGCCATGGAAAAAATCCTTTTGCTTAAATTGGTTAAATATGTCTAAATTTAACAATCACAATTCATATGTCGGAATTTAACAATCAGAATTCACAACATTAACAATTCCACTAAATAAAGACCTCTGCAACTTTTTGTAAGTGGTGAAAATACTGGATTTTTTTGTAAATGGTCAAGTTGCGTCCTTAAGTTATGGTGTCCTAAGACGTTAAATTGATTCTCTTTAAAATTCAGTAGAGGGGATGGAAGGTCTACTTTGATTATCTTGTGAATTGACATTGACTGTTTACTTCCATGAAGTTACAAATTTGGCACACATAATTCAACATGATAAACTTACCTAAGTTCACCAAAATAACTTATTATATTTAATTGAAGGTGTTATTATCCTTCTAAAAGATGAGGGGTTTGTGAATTAAATTGTGCCAATGAAGTTGCTTCAGTTAGTTGCAAATTTACTTTCTTGTATTTATTTAAGTTCAACATTTGCAGGTATTGGCTCTTTGTTTTACACGGCCAAGACAAGAAGATTTCGAGCTTTGATTGGGCTTGTTCAAAGTTTTATGAAGAAACAAGCATCATTATGGAGTCTAGGCCTATCTCCCAATAGTGTTCTTATTCATTAAGCAGGTCAAACACAAGCCTAAAGATTCTTGCCTTCCCTTTTGCATTTTGCATTATAGATTTACATTTTGTGCGTTGGCTTAAACTGGCAGGCTCTCTTTGATTATACTGTAAGAGTTTTGCTTGGGCTGGTTCTTGTCAAATGTTTAGTCAGAGATTATTTAACATGAGAAATATTCAAGAGAATTACGTATCATTGAAAAGAAAAGAAAAAGAAAGTTGAAGGAAAAATTAGGAATAGGCCATGAGCATTGTTCCCATTTGACTTGCAATTGTAATAAGATGCAGTCTATTGTGGGCCTTTTTTTTTTCACTGACTAAATTTCCTTTAATACTTCATTTTTTACTTCTGTCATTTACTTTTTAGTAGTATTAACTGCATTTGTTTAAGTATTTTCGTTCTTATGACATGTTTCTTTCTGATTATATTGAAAAGAATCAACGCCTTCTCATTTCAGTATGATGAGTATTTATCAGTGACTAGAAACTCCTATTTCAGATTTGCATTATATTGGAGTTGGGAACGTTTTTAGTTTATATGAGAGAGAGAGAGAGAGAGAGAGAGAGAGAGAGAGAGACCTCCTCCTCGTCTAGTGAGAGAGAGAGAGAGAGAGAGAGAGAGAGAGAGACGTCCTCCTCCTCGTACTATAACGTAAACTACGTGTAGTAGTCGTACTACTTACCGTTACCGTAACGTCCTTACCGTACCGAACCCAAACAAAAC